GAAAAGGTTTTAGATTAAAAATTGAAGCAAATAAGCAATTCTTGTTACAATCCTTGGTGTTAGATCCTACTGAATAGTTCAAACCGGTATAAAAAACCGGTTAGCACTTAGCTTGCTTTCCAATTTCTGGCAAATAAACTGGTTTTAATTAGATTCATTTTACATTCACGCTGACTGACCAAATGATTCGCCGGGTTTTGAATTTTTTCCTAACTTGAGTATTATTTTACTAATTCAAATCTTCAAGATTGGGAACCGTATAATTTAAGTAAACATTTTTTTTCTACTATTCATTTACTGTTAAGCGTCCAAGGTATGTTATTTTATGTCAAAATCGTGTTTAATACTGTCGTCCTTTTCATTTATTGTGTGACTGCTATGTGTCTGTGTCACCCAGATTTGCAAAAATTTTGTAAAATAGCCGTAGAATATTCTTCTTAGTTAAAACAAAAGCGGATTTTTATAAAAGGAAAAAAATAGGTATTCTCTTGAATAGAATGTCACGGATTGTTCATGATCACAAACAAATGATTAAAACGACTTGGAACAATGTATGTAAAATAAAACGAAAGTGAATTATTTTATCGTTATTCCTGGCTTTATTTCATGTTGTTTATAGCCTCTGAATAATTGGACTTGTTATTACATTTTTATTAACTTGCATTCATGTGTATGAGAGGTTAGAATCTGGCATTTAAAATATTGACAGCTAATATTGATTGAAATAAGACCACCCTGAATATATTTTGATTTAATGATCGGATCTTCACCTTCTGGGATTCAATCATAATAGTTCGAGAAGGTGACTTCAAGTTTTTGAATTATTTAGTGCAAGCCGCGGTGATTCCGGTTAATAGGGATTATTTTTTTTTTAAAATTTGATCAAGCAGGTTGGGTGGTGGCTATTAGTTTCTAGAAACTTCCAGGTGGTTTTACTGTGAACTTCGACCACCCCCATTGTATTCAAATGTAGGAGAAGAAAGAGACGTGTAAACGATGTGTGAAGGGTGAACAACAATAAAAAAATGTTACAAATGACTCAAATATAATTTTTTCCCCTGAAAAATAAAAATTGGAGAAAAAATTAATATCATTTTTTTTTTTTTAAATTTTCTATTTTTTTTTTTTCAAACAGAAAGTAACGAAATCTGAGGGAGCCATTTGAAAAGGCGTACCGGTATCAGGGTTAAAGAGAATAGAAGGGCTAGTTCACTCCGCTCNTCATGTGTATGAGAGGTTAGAATCTGGCATTTAAAATATTGACAGCTAATATTGATTGAAATAAGACCACCCTGAATATTTTTTGATTTAATGATCGGATCTTCACCTTCTGGGATTCAATCATAATAGTTCGAGAAGGTGACTTCAAGTTTTTGAATTATTTAGTGCAAGCAGCAGTGATTCCGGTTAATAGGGATTCTTTTTTTTAAAAAATTGATCAAGTAGGTTGGGTGGTGACTATTAGTTTCTAGAAACTTCCAGGTGGTTTAACTGTGAACTTCGACCACTCCCATTGTATTCAAATATAAGAGAAGAAAGAGACGTGTAAACGATGTGTGAAGGGTGAACAACAATAAAAAAAAATATTACAAATTACTCAAATATAATTTTTTCCCCTGAAAAATAAAAATTGGAAACAAAATTAATATCAATATTTTTTAAAAATTTTTTCTATTTTTCAAACAGAAAGTAACGAAATCTGATTGGGCCGTTTCAAAAGGCGTACCGGTATAGGCTCCTGTGTCCCAGTTCATCCGGGTCACAACTGATTTTTAGAAAATAGATAAGGCTTGTCATTCAATGATTTTTGCAAAAAAGTATGTGACTTTTTGAAAAAAGAAGATAGCTGTTGAATAATATATTATTCATTTTATAAATTAAGACAAAAACACTTCAAAAAATACTTTTTTCGATAAAAGTTTTTAATAATTTTCATAGAAAAGTAACGATTTCGAAGTTACAAAATTGTAACGAGCTACGATTTTTTCGTCTCGTTACAAATGTACTTTTTTTCGAAAAAGTAGCGAAAAAAACAAGTAAATTTGAAGAGTAACGAAGTACAAGTGAAAGTATGTACTTTTTATTTTTCCTTTCGTTGCAAGTAACGAAAGTAAAAGTATTGCCGTGCATTACTATCACTTTTAGTTATTGACTACGTTTCAGCAGCTATGGGCCTGATTAACGCTTTGCAGAGCAATAGTTTTGTTTTCCTGCTGTTGTGGTGACTAGATTTTAAATATTTGTGTACTCAATGAAAACGCTTGTTACCAGTTGTTATTCTCTTAAGTATTCCTGACGTTAAGTCTTTAATGGTGTTCAATTCAGAACCAAAATAGATGAAAATATTAACTACTTTAAAACTGTTGTCATTGATATAATGTTTCACTATCGAGATGTAAAGTTTCTTACATTGATTGTTTTAATTTATTTACTCAAAAAAACAATAATATGTTAATATTATTACTGTTTTTTTTCCTTTTGTATAGTAATTTTTTTTTTCTTTAGAGAGATGCTCCTTGCTTTTTTTTTTTTTTCCTTTTAGAAAATAACTATCTTTACTTCATGGGAGACAATATCACGCCTTCGTGAAAGAAAAATCAGGACATTTTTTTGAAACTGTATGCATACACCATACTGATTTTAAAAAGGGCAAACTATCAGCTATAAAAAGGTTCAGGAAAAAATTTATCTCTGATATTTAAAAAAAAAACACTATTTTTTTGGATGTGAGAATTTAAATTTAGTGGATGTGAAAATTAAGAGAAACTTGATAAGTTTCATTAATGATATAAATCTTTGTTCTACAACCGCTTTCTTTAATGATACAAATCAAAACTGGCTTATTGTTTTTTAATTTCGAATGAAACTGATATAGATATTTATCATGTTCTAGGAATTTTTTGCTTAAATTCGAATTATGGAAAGTTATCTCCTCCATTTTATCTAAGTTGTACCATATTAAGTACACTCGGTTGTATAATCTTTAAGGGCTGCTAAAGAGTACTATAATTTGAAACTCGTTTCAGTCGCTAAATGTTTGGCGATGGTCATTACTTAAAACTAAGGGGTCTGCACTCCAAAAATCTGTTCATAACACATTTGCCCTTTGACGCAATGATGAATCATATCTGTTATTATGACTCCTGTCCTACCTGCTAGGTGGAATTTCTAAGCGGGGACAGGCCTAACACCTTGTGAGCAAAACCTTTTAGCAATGCAATGAAAATACTAATTATATTCTAATTTTATATCCGCATAACATAAAAAGAAAACACTACACAACCTAAATATATTCTAAACAATTATCTTTATGTCTTATCTTTAAACAATTATCAAACATGTCATTCTTTTTACTTTAAGATCTTCAAAGAGACTGGAAGATAGCTTTAGATTCTTCAACCCATTTCACTGAAAAGCAAAAGAAAACTTCATAAAAATAAAATTGGTTCAAAGTCATTAAACAATAATCTTCACTCAGTGTCATTCATTTTCAATTTTTTTTAAAAACAGCACGAGGTATTTTTTTATAGAATAANATTTCAAATCTTAAAGATAATAATTAATGTATTATAAAAACTAATAGAACCTTGTTTCTTTATTTTTATTAATTTTAAAATATTAGATCGGACAGCTATCAAAAGGTTCAGGCAAAAATTTATCTCTGATATTTAAAAAAAAACACTATTTTTTTGGATTAGAGAATTAAAAACTAGTGGATGTGAAAATTAAGAGAAACTTGATAAGTTTCATTAATGATATAAATCTTTGTTCTACAACCACTTTCTTTATTGATACAAATCAAAACTGGCTTATTGTTTTTTAATTTCGAATGAAACTGATATAGATATTTATCATGTTCTAGGAATTTTTTGCTTAACTTCGAATTATGGAAAGTTATCTCCTCCATTTTATCTAAGTTGTACCATATTAAGTACACTCCGTTGTATAATCTTTAAGGGCTGCTAAAGAGTACTATAATTTGAAACTCGTTTCAGTCGCTAAATGTTTGGCGATGGGCATTGCTTAAAACTAAGGGGTCTGCACTTCAAAAATCTGTTCATAACACACTTGCCCTTTGACGTATTGATGAATCATATCTGTTATTATGACTCCTGTCCTACCTGCTTGGTAGAATTTCTAAGTGTGGACAGGCCTAACACCTTGTGAGCAAAACCTTTTAGCAATGCAATGAAAATACCAATTATATTCTAATTTTATATCCTCATAATGTAAGAAGAAAACACCACACAACCTAAATATATTCTAAACAATTATCTTTAATAGTATCTGGGAAGAAGGGGTTTTTAGAAATTTCATTCTTTTTTTTCCTTATGATCCTCAAAGAGACTAGACGATAGCTCCTGATTCCTCAACCCATTTCACTGAAAAGCAAAAGAAAACTTCATAAAAATAAAATTAGTTAAAAATTATAAAACAATGATTTTCACACAGTGTCATTCATTTTCCAAGTTTTTTTTAAAACAGAAGCAGTTTCTTTTTTTTAGAAAAAAATAACATTTTTGCATTAATTTAATATATTAAAAGCGTGAACTTAAATATGAAAAGTACTTTTTGGACCTTTTCGAAGCCTGTGATTCTGCAGCAAATAATGCATTTCTCGTTTCTCAACTAACCCGAAGCCCATATAAACCAAGGAAAAAAAAATTTTCTCGAAATATTAGTTAAATAATTAGTTCAAACAACATAAATAAAAAAAAAGATTTTATTACGGATCTCTACAAATCACGACAAAACTAATCTTTAAGCATTATCTAGGCTACCGCAGCCTGTTTAAATCATTTTCTAATGTTTTTCCCAAATAAGGATTTCTTTTTCTTGCTAAAGTTTGGCGAACTTTTTATATTTAAAAATAAAATATGCTAAACATACAAAAGAGAATATAACACTTTTACTAAATTATCGGCAAATATAAATCAATATTCATTACTTAATAATTATTTTGATTTAAAGAAAACAGTATTTTAGATGGATGAACAGTTAAATGGGTGATGGATGAAAGCCAAAACCATGGTCGCTTAATGATATTATTAAAAACTAATTAATTTCTGATTAAATTAATTTCTGAAGACTCCAAAGTTTAGTGGTTCTGAGCGATCAGCTTTAGCAAAAGCATGATCACTTAGTTTGAGAGCAAGGTGGTGCCCCCCGCTTTTAAGTAAAATGACATGGTTATAGAAATCTTTGTTACATTTTATACCTCTATTTATAAAAAGTCATTGTATATTTCATATTTCTATGACAAAAATGAACTTAATGAGGCATACTTATAATCGAGACGTGGCATTAAATCGTGCGATTTGGCATCAGTTCTTATTCTGCTTTAGCTGATAATGCAACCACCATCTTGAAAAAAACTTTAAAAGATTTTTAGTTACGATGACTGACAGAAGTGCAACGAGTTTATGACGAAAAAAGCCATTTTGTAAAAATTCAAGAAGAAATTCGACAAATTCATATAAAGATGATGTTAAGAAATACATATATTTTACAAGATATAATCTTCAATCCTATGTTAATTATTTTTATTACTGTATGGCACTGTTTAAAGTTTCTATAATGTATTGGGTTGAGTAAAAAGTCATTGCGTTTTTTTTTTCTAAATTTTTCAAAGTTCAGTTAAAGGTTTATCCAATTTCCAAACCGCTAGCCAATTGCTGTCCATTTGGATTGATTGTTCCATTCCTTTTGTTGGAACCCCCCCCCCAACAAAAAAAAGAAACATGACATCCTTCCACACTGAGAGCAAGCATAACCTTCTTCGTGTGAAATTCTGGTTTTGAAGTCTTTGATGGCGAATCTTCATCTCGTGACCAAAACCGCTTGGGCATCACATTGTTGTAAACAATCCTCTTCTCATCACCAGTTCTCATTACCAGTTTCGTTTTTTTAAAAAGGGTCGCTTTCTTCACGCTTCATGAACATATTGTAAATTTTATTCGTGCTGTTAAATGAACTTCTTTAAGCTCATGAGGCACCTAAATTTCGAAATTTCCTACGTGCCCCGGTCTCTTTAGAGGGATGTGAACACTTTTTCTGTTACTAAACTTCAATGCCTCTGCAATCTCTCGTGTCCTGTAACGTGGGTTTGATTGGATCAATGTCTTAATTTTGTCATCATCAATTCGGATAGGTTTTCCTGATCAAGGCAGCATCCCTCAAATCAAAATCAACAGCTCGGAATTTCTGAAGCCAGTTTTGGCATTGACGTTCTTGTAGAGCATTGTCATATTAACTTAACGCAATTTTTCACAAGCTTGACTCACGTTTTTCCCTTTACAGAAGTAAAATAGTAAAAGATGACAAAAATGTACACTGTGATCTTTCATATTCAACGTGCTGTGAAATGACCAAAACTTAACGAAATACTCTAAATCGTTCTTCACAATGAAGCTTAAACTGTCAGATATCAATTACGTGAAAAGTACTGCTGCAAATTCTCCCATTAATTCAGAAACTGAACTACTGCCATCTATTGCAAAAAAAAAAAAGGAATAACACACACACACATTTTACTCAACAAATATACAATATACTAACTTTAAATAAGTTTCAGTTTCATTTAATTAATCTTGTCAAGAACATTAGATCTCAATCTAAAATTCCTTACGTTCCTCAAACTAAAATTCCTTCTAAAATCCCTTAATAATAAACTTATATTTAAAAAGGCAATTTCTATTTACGTAAAGCGAGTAACTCTACAAATCTAAGTATTGCAAAATTTAGTTGATGAAAGCACGCCAGTCTTTTTTTTTTCTTTGTACTTATCTTTAATGTTTGGGGAATCTCTCGTGTGTTTGACTAGATCAAAGTCTTAATTTTGTCATCCTTAATTCTGATAGGCTTTCCTGATATAGGGAGCATCCTTCAAATTAAAATCACCAGTTAACTATTTCTTCAGCCTGTTTTGGCATTGTCTTTCTTGTAGAACATTGTCACCGTAAACTCTGTGGAGGGAAAAACGCAATTTTTGACACGCGTTTCTCCCTTTACAGAAATAAAATTGCAAAATTTGGCGAAAATGAACACTTTGATATTCTTTATTAAACGTGCTTTAAAGGACCAAAACTCAACTAAATACCCCAAATCGTTCTTTACAATGAAGCTTAAACTGTTAGATATCAATGACGAAAACTATTGTTGCAAATACTCCAAGTCATTCAGAAACTGCACTACTGCCATCTGTTGCAAAAAAAAAAAAAATGCAATGACACTTTGCTCAGCTAATATACTATATTCAGACTTTCAATAAGTTTCAATTTCATTTCACTAATTTTGTCAAGAACATTAGATCTCAATCAACATTAGATTGATAATTTAGAACATTAGATTCAATGCATTTATTTAATAATAAACTTATTTTTTGAAAGGTAATTTCCATTTTTTTAAAGGCGAGTAACTGTACAAATCTACGTATTGCAAAATTTGTTTGATGCAACAACCCACTAGAAAACCAAGGTGAGAGACTTATATCCTTTGCTATCGTTTATTAAGGAGTGTTTTTTTTTTTTAATAAATGCTCCACAGGTATAATAGGCGAAAATAGCAAAAAACTTACTTAATACGTACGGAAAGATCATGGGTATCTAATAAATGTTATTTTTAGATAAAAAAAAAATTTTTTTTTAGTTTTTATAAATATTAAAACGCAATGTTTTTATATTTATAATGTGTTCTTACACATTTTATGCAAATCTTTTTCAGAACACTTATAAAATCACCAACACTACAAAAAGCTGTATATATTTTGTTTTATAACCGTCATTGAACAGCCGACGCAAACTTCAGTTAATGGCTACTAATGTTTCGTTCCGTAGCCTTGTAATTTTGAGCCTAATACAGAAGACAAGGGAACTCAGAGATCAATACCGCCAGAGGTATTGATTAGTTATGGGAACTTGTACTTTGTGACCCCGATGGATTTAACGTGCACCAGGCTAGATTCGAAGACTCACCATCTTCATTAAATATTCGCTTGATTTCAAACAAGCTTGCTGATTGGCAATTGGTATAAGTAACATAAAATACACACAAAATGCTAGATGTTTTCAAATGCTAAATGTTTTCAAGATTTAATCCCCGCTTTAACCTAGTTACTGATGTACTTTAACTCTAAATAAAAATACAGTTAAATAATCTAGTTACTCATCTTTTGTAATTATTCTTTCAATGAAAGAACACAAAACATTTTTTAATATTTCAAACACTCATTGCAAATAATAATCAATCAAGAATAAACTTTAATTTTTTTTTTGCTTGTTTTACCTACCTTTTGCAGTACGTGGGAAGCATCATGCAATAGCTAATGAATGGGGAAAAGCAAACCTGAAAAAACTTTGAATTTTTAACACACAAGCATTGAACAGGAAACACTAAGTGCTCTGATAAAAGCCAATCTTTATATACATTTCTAAAATCCTTATCAGAATTGAAAACTAAAAAATATGCACTTTGGAGTATGAAAATTAACATCGGAATTTTCGAAACTACTTATACGAACTAAAAAGTTCTTTTCATACAATTATAAAACTCGTTTAATCAAAGTTATTTTGTGAAAAAATAATTTTTTTAGAGAATTATTTCTAATGTTTAATATATTATTTAATTTAATAATGATCGAAAACACTTTGTCTTTTATGGTGCAAAATCTTGTACATAATTTCAAACTATATATTTCTAAATAACGAAGTTAAAACTTGAAAGAAATTGCTGCAAAGCTTCTGAATAAGGAAATATACATAAAAAAAATATTAAAAAAATTCCGCGCTTTAAGAGTTGTTAGATTTGAAGATTTTACGTCCTATTTTCTATATATTTTGGATGTTGTCATTTAAAATAATTTATATTAAAATACTAAATTTAAGCACTTTACACACCATTATTAAAGTTAATAATGTAAAATAATTACTTAATAAAAAACTAAATAATTACTAAATAAAATAATTACTTTATAAAAAAAGGTTTACATGGAATTATTTTAAAATAAACAAATTTTTTGTAATTGAAAATAACATACAGAAATTGAAAATAACATACTATGGTCCAAGCATTCGAACGCGCTCTTTACTAAATTATTAAAGCGATATGTACCGAATCAGAGATACGTAAAAAAAAAGTCGAACAACATTAAGGAATCCAAGCTATTGATCTCTTTCTTGCATTTATTATAGGGACCATTTCTTTCAAATTACAATTACTTTTCATGTATCGGAGATTTATGTATTCAAGGAAGTTGAGAAGAAAATAAAGATATGTTTATTCAGAAAAAAGTATTTAAATATGATTTCATAATTTGAAGTATAATCAATATTAACAACTTAGCACATTTTACCTTAAATAGCTACTCACTCAATTGTATGAATTGATGTGTATTCAGGTCATTTTGAAACGTGGGTTGCTATTAACGTTTCTTCTTTTTTTTTTTCTTGTAACCGTCGTTGAACAACTGACCCAATCTTGAGTTTACGACTACCAATGTTCAACTCCGTTGCCTTGTAATTTTGAATCCAATCCAGAGAGCAAGGAACTTCTGGATCAAGCATTGGGAGAAATTTACTTTCTTGGAAGAATTTATGATGGAACTAACTCGCATTTACGTTACATGGAGAGGAAAACTACGAAAACCTCCCACAGTTAGTCTGACTCTAACCCATGATTTGTCTGCCACTGAGTAGGGGAGAGTGGGGTCAATTGTAACAGGGTACGATTGTAACAGAGCAAAAATTTCGAGTGTTGGGTTCTAGATTTGGTTCCTAGGTGGTGCACAAGGTGTATTTAATAAATCTACGTGTACACCCCTGATGGCAACCATTTTTATGTACTTTTGAAAGAGTTACATCACAAAAGATATTTTCACGCCACGCAAGTACTTTTTTTGGTATTAGAATATTATATTGTAACAAAGTAATTTTGTTTAAACAAATAAAAATTAGTAACCGAATATGTAAGTGGACACTTTAATTAACATTTCAAAAAAAAAAAGATTAGTTTTGCTAATTAACTAGCATTGTTTTTAACAAATGAAGCTGAAATGGCGTCTTGGGGACAATTGTAACAATAAGTAAAGGGACGATTGTAACAGCTGAAAATAAATAATCTTATGTTTACAAACCATTACTTAACTCTTTAAGAACCACCAATAGTTTCCTATATCATTTATATTATGTTGCATGTGCATTATTTTATTTGTCACCTTTCACAGCATAAATTAAAATTTTTAACCCCTTAAAGTTAAAAGTTTAACCCTTTAGGTCTCTGCTCATTATTATTTTTACTCCTAAAATATCACTACTATTTTGATCAATAAAAAAATATATCACAACTATGATAATATGTATAATTAACTATGTTTTAGTTGAATTTATGAACTGTTACAATTGACCCCGTAAGTGGGGACAATTGTAACAAGTGCACGACTGTCAAAAATTGTTAATAACTAATATAATAATATTTAAAATCAGGTATTTATTTTTTTTCTAGTAGAGGATAGTCTACTTTAATCGTCTGTCAATTAATACTAATAGTAAATTGGATTTTTTGTTAGTTAAAAATAGTTAAGTAAAAAATGTTACAATTGACCCCACTCTCCCCTATATTTTACGTCAGCATAGTGGTCAGTGATAGTCGGGTGCGGAATTCGTATCGACAAGCCATGACTGGGATTCGAACCCGAGTCACCTCAATAAGAGGCAAACTCTCTATCAACTCAGCCAACACGGAACTATTCAGGGTTAAGTTAGACCTTAGAAAATCTAAAAAGTTTTTCTCGGTACGTGAAGATGTGGATCAATAGATCAAAAGTTGTTTAGAGTCTATAGTAAGCTTAAATATTGTAAGTCGCTATGTTTTGCTCACTGTATAAAACTTAAATTATTATAAAACAAGTGATAGTTTGTTTTTTTTTCATTTTAAAAGGAGATTTTACGCTGTATTAAATAAAACAAACGGCCTTCAGATTATTTAGCTGTTTGACATTTCTCAGACACCAAAAAATAATACTTTACAATTCACGAACAAAAGACAAATGAAAATACGTAACACCTAGTAAAGACGAAAAAATAAAACACCAACTTTAAAATATCATTTTTGTAAGCTAAAAAACGCCGAAACATTGTTTCTATATTGTTTGGATTGATAACTGGTCAGACAACCAAATATTTTTCACTACGTTTTAATAAACTCGCTTTCATATCTGTAAGGATGGAATCTTGAAATAAAAAAATCGACTACTTTCCGATTAGCAAGAGCACTCAAATAGCTCCTTGAGTTCAATGCCTAATGACAATGTCTTTTCAGTTGTTTTAAAAAGTTGTTTAATACATTTATCTTCATATAATTACCAAATAGAATTCATAATTAATAAAAGTTTGACTATTTTCCAATCAGCAAGTATATTAAAATTTTAATTCTGGATGACAATACAAATATCAATCGTTTCCTTACCACTACATGCAGCGTTATCATTATCGTCAATTGAAATTTGTAGTTGTCTACCACTGCAATTCCTAGTATATAAGACATGTTAACACGATTTTATGTCGGGGTACCTTTTCACAGATGAAAATTGACATTGTCGATAACTATTAGCCCCACATTGGTGACCCGGACTTGATGTAAACACGCCTACCTTGACAGAAACTCCCACTTTGATTTGAACACGCCTACTTCGATGGGTGGTCCATGTGAAACAGTTGGCTTGCTACTTGTGACAGCAAAATTCTCCTGGCACTGCTGCTACTCAATCTCGATCACAAACAGCGTACACCGTATACACTCGACTGCTAAAGGCAACGCAGGAGCAACCACAACCGTGAACTTAATACAGCCCTCACAATCAGCACTTAAAAGTACGGTGATGTTAATACAGAACTTCCGGCTTCTCACAAAATGGCAATGAATCAACCAGTGGTATCAGTTCATCTAATTCTATCACAGCTATAATTTTGGTGGATGAGTACTGTAGTTTTCCTACCAATACAAAGATGCAGTTCCAATCCACTAGTATATAAGACATGTTAACTCGATTTCTATGATGGGGTACCTTTTTGTAGATGAATGTCGACATTGTCGATAACTATTGTCCCCACAAATTTTTACCACTCTAGATGACAATAAAATCTTAAATAAGAATTTATAATCTAACATATTAGGAATTCAGTGTCAATCTAAATTTCGAATATCTTTCAACTAATTATAGTACTCAAATTACAACTAGAACTATAAGCCTTATGAGCCTATAACTAGAATTACAAGCCTTATTAATACAAGCTGCATTATTTCTCAAATGGTACTAGTGCTAATTAAATCTTCAACCACTTTCCGACCTAAAGCAACAAACCTATAATTGAAAGCAGAAAATAATTAAAACTAGTTCCCATAACTAATCAATAACCCATAACTGCTCGCTGACGCTTGCCAACCCCCGAAAATTGCTACGCAATCTTATATGGTTTGCTTCGCCAACCAAGCTCGCTTCGCTCGCTACTTAACTTAGGTACATTGCTAATGCACATAATTCTAAGAATTCAAAACAGTCATTCAAATCCATATAACAACTTTCTTTTTAAAAAAAAATTTACTTATTTTTAGTAAATACTAAGTCATTGAAATAAATTTGAATTCAAATAAATGACATGTAATTCGTTAAACCTATTAGAAATGTGCTATAGTATAAAATCTTAAAATAAAATTTCTAAAACTGATATCTCTTTAAAAAGGTTAAAATTTTGGCTATAATTAAGTCTATTAAAAATTGAAATAAGTGAATTGCAATGGAAAAACCTGCATAAACAAATAAATTCTAGTAAAACAAATAAATTCGTGATATAAATCAAAAATCGTCAAATAAATTCGTAATATATAAATTCGTGAAAAAAAGCGCTTTCGACAAAATACTAAAATAGAGATCTATCGACAAAGGCTACTCACTTCTGCCTAGCTCAATACTATGAGATTGCCGCAGCCGATGCTCTCTCTGGTTATTTCAGTTTCCGTTTTTATAAGCGCTTTAAAAGAGCCACCTAAACTAGATTTGGCATGCGACATTTTTAGCGGAAATCATTGGTCGATTTTCTAGTGTTGCCATTCGGGGAGTTGTAATGAGGCTTTTTTTATCGCCGTGTAAGAGAAATATATATATCGATGTTTTTTCAAAATAGGCTTAAAAACAAAGCAAAAATAATTTTGTTTTTTGTAAAACTGAAAACGCGAAACGTAGGGAGCATCACTCGAAACTCCCTTACGTATTTCTTTCAAAATTATTTTCCATTGGTTTTCATTTCAAGATTGGCGGCAATAAAATTATTTTCTCCTCTTCAATTTATTTATATTTTATATATTTTTATTTTATTTATTTTTATTTTGTTTATTTTAATTTTATTTATTCATATTTTATTTATTTTTATTTAATTTATTTTTATTTTATTTATTTATTTTTAATAACTCTATCTCTCGTAGTCTTATTCTCTCGTAGTCTTGTTATGACATACCTGCAGATTTTCACTTAATGCATGCTTAAAGTGTATTTAATTGAATCGGGTATGTTTGTGGAAACTAAAAGAAAATTTAACTTACTTTGAACTCTTCCAATTTCTTATTATCAGCAACTTTTATTGGATCTGTTGAAGTTGAAAGATCGATCTGCAAATAAAATTTGAATAAATAAAAAAACTTATCGTTAAATATCAAAGATTTTGCAATTTTAAGAATCATTACTTACATTGTATTCATTCAAAGACTCGAAGACTGCTGTCAAGTGACTTTTCTGCAGCAAAATTAAAGGTGAGCATTAAGAATATAAAATTATAAATAAGAAATTGTTAATCAAAATAGCAATCGTTAAGAAAATGAAATGATTCTAACCTCTTGATTAAACGAGTAATCTAAAATGATTCAATGTTTTAGTTAACAGCTTAAATTTAGAACACAAATCAACACACACGAAATCAAACACTTTTATTCATTATTTTTTTTCTAATCGTCGTTTAACAGCAGACCCAAGTTTTTGAGTTTACGACTACTAATGTTCAACTCCATAACCTTGTCATTTTGAACCCAATCCAGGGGACAAGGAAACTCCGGAATCAAGTATCTTTTTGATGGAACTAACCCGCATTTGCGTTACATAGAGAGGAAGACCACGAGAACCGCAAACGGTTAGCCTAACGGCAAAGGGACCCTAACCCATGATCCGTCAACCACTGAGAATATTTTACGTCAGCGCAAGCCGGATGCGAAATTCAAATCGACCAGCCATCACTGGGATTCGAACAAGGTTCATCTCATTGCAAGGCAAACACTCTATCCCTTGAATCATCACGGCTCAAATCAAACACTTGACGAAATCAAACATTTGACGAAATGGGATACTACTTCTTAACCCTTTTTAGAGCAACTAATTTTGATTGAAAATTTCAGTCAGGAAAGACATTAGCAAGCATGAGCAGTGCACTTTAATAAGTGAAGTGACATACTAAAGTTGTTTGTTGTTTAAAGAATAGTGAAGGCTAAACGTTTAAAACTGTTTAACGAAGACTTCGTCGTAATATGAAATGACGCTTTCTTGTGAATTGTTATTCACGACTGTTAGGTTAAAATTTAGCCAATCTGAAGCCAGTACTGACTACTCTTATTTTTAAAATGGCGCAAAACGTCAATATGGAGAAAAGCCACAGTTTTGTGAAAATGAAAAGCGTTTGTTGTCTTATTTTTTAATACTTAAAAACTTACTCCAATGCTGCATTATCTAGGCTTATAAGAAATTGCAAAAACCTAGAATACGACAATGATTTTGATAATTTTCATCTAGGTGGAAAAATGTCATCAAATTGGCGATTTTTTAAAAAGTTTAATAACTTTTAAAATATTTAAGTTATTTGTCTATTCTAAAGCCCAGATAATTTTTAGCAGCAAGATTATGTACATGTTACGGCCAAAGCCGAAAATCCGGCCAGATCACGAATTGGCCGGCCCTCTTGGCGAAAGTCCGAATTTTTTTTATTTCGGGAATTGGCATACACTCGACTGCTAAAGGCAAC